ATATGCATGTATATGTATATATAAAATACATAGTACATATATATGTACGTATATACATATATATATTCTGTTTTACAAAGACGCGACATAGATCAGGTTCATGTTAACGAACTTTATAATTAATATACGGAATATACATGTAAAATGTATATGTAGGGAGAGAGTTCGACTTTACACGATTTTCAAGATCTAAGATTCGTTTCTCTCGCTGTAGGAGCCGCTGAGTCCTTTTCGCGTGCCGTAACCATACGTTCACAGGAATGTCTCGGAAAATAACTATATTGAGGAGAAGTCCGAATAACCGCGTCCGAATCAGAAACTCATACAGCGATCGAAGTTTCACACACCGATATAAAGTACACGCGTCTCGTCGCGCGCGCGGCGGTACGCGTTCGCACAATACGCATCTAATTTAAAACGACAAAATGTTATTTTTTACATCCTTTTATATCGTATATTACAGAGTCGCGAGACACTCAGGGGAGGGAAAAATTCGTAGCTCGCTAAAAAAAAAAGACTGCTGTGGATCAAGTAGAACAGTGTAAAAAAAACTCGGAGCAACGGAGGAAGCCAGTAAAGTTGAAATTGTGTTATGCTATATTGCCTCTAGTTCTAAGGCACAGTTATATAAATATCTTTATAATTCTGTAGTGTGTGATAAGTATTACGTGTGCTCAACAAGTAATTTAACATGACCACCTGCAATCAGCCCGTCAACTCGCGAACTCTGAAACTTGATTGAGCGACTCGTTCGCTTCGGACTCCTCGACAAATATCATGTCCATTATCGCGTGTAAACGCTTAGCATGGATGACAGTTTCGAGCAGAGAGGTACAGAATTCAAAACCCTTCAGTATTGTGATATCCGAGACATATCTTTATTCGTTATTTTCGTAAGACAAACATAAAGAAATAAAAAGTACACTGAAGCGTCAAGTAAGTTCAATGATTTTATCGTTTCTCTCTCTCTCTCTCTCTCTTCATTATTTTCATTTAATATATCAACGCTGGCGAGATATAACGACCAGCGCAACCAATTGTTGGATCATGAACCACTACTCTTCATCAACCAGCTCTGCCTTCTACCTCTTTCCGCCCCTCCGGCCCCGACTATGTGTATTATATATTTTCAAATGGACACAATCTGTACAACGGGGAACGAGAATGGCGCCCGGCGTGGATGCACCAAAGCAACGCAAATCGAGCGAACAGCCATTCTCATGCAGTACACCCGCAACTGGACACTATTTTCTGCTTCCGATTGTACAATATTATTTTTACAGGATGTAAGAGTTATATTACGTAGAGAAAGATGCTATGTGACAGCGTAGCACCCTCACTCGTTCGTGTGTAATCTTTTTTTGCACCAGTACAGTTCGGCCTATTGCGGATAGGTGTATAAATTCGAAAGAGTGCGATAACAATCAGTAATTGGTAACTTATTGTTTTCAGCGAGTAAAGTTCCAAGGCATTGAACAATGCGAATGACGAATAATTATCTTGAGTATCTATAAACACAAAATCATTATTCGTTATTCGTGAATACACCTTGCTCAACGCTATTATTTTGAGAGCAGAGCATGTGTTACAGAGGGAGAATCCCTTTACAAGCACAAAAAATGAGAATGTAACAATGATAAACATAAACCGAGCGTTACCTTAGCATCTTCTAATTAAAACTATGTTTCTTAAGAAGACGATCAAGAAAAAAAAATAAATAGAATAAAAAATAATTTAAATCAAGCATTTTATCAAGTTAAGCACACACCCGTGAGAGCAACTCTATTATTAATGTAGACCACTACCGTTCGTGTTTATAGCATTTATTATGAACATTCGAGTAACGCAACGTTTAGAGTCTGTGTCTGCGATCGAACGATGACATATGATGGCAGAAGACAGGCTAAAAAAACTTGGGGGCGGTGGGGATACACTGAGGTATACAGTAAGATAAAGGTTGTTCAAATTAGTTTTCCCAGCAAGTAGCCAACTATAACCATGGCAATGGCGATGAGGATACTAGTTGATGTCGGAGATAACTGATTACTGCTCTGCGAGGTTAGTCCTCTAGCTGCTGCAAGGTTACCACCATCATTGCCCAATGCCGCGTTTCGCCACTTCATTAAATCTTCCTATTAGATAAAAATATATGCTCACATTACTTAGACATATTTCACAGCGATTTTTTTATCTGATAACATGTAGACTTAAGGACAAAGAATTTCACTGATTTTCCTTAAATCAGATGTTTAATAAATTTATAATTTGTTTAAGTGATAATTTATTTAATTGAACTTAACATTAATTACTTATATCTTTTAAATAAAATATAAGTCTTGGTAAATTTTACTATTCAAAGTATGATAGATTTACAAATGAGATTGTTGTATAAAATTTATATGTAACATAGTTGACTTTGCATCATTAATACTTACTCTAAGTTGAAGATTTTCCTGCCTAAGCGTGCTTTCTTCTACCCTAAGCTGATTTACCTCTTGTGCAGCTTTTAATAATTTTTCTTCTGCCTCACCAAGAACCTGAGAAAAATCATTATTTAGAGAAACAAATGTACGCAAAAACTATTATTACTACTATTATAATACACTCGATATTTTACTTTAGGTGACGATTTGACCGAATCACCGACTGTCTTGTTCTTTCCATTAGTTGTATTGGAGTCTGCCTTAGTTGTTGTGGAAGTTGCAGTCGTTTTAGCCGTAGTAGTAGTAGTACTAGTTACAGGATTTTCAAAGACACATTTCAGCTTGGAATCCATTAACTGATCTGGATTTATGTCCTTCCACTTTAAAAGACAATTACATAATTTATTAAAATAAATCATAGAAGAAAGAATAAAATTTATTATTTTTATTCTTGAAGTAGAAGAAAACATTTATTAAAATAACAGTATATTTATTGAATTTATCGATATATATTAATACTAATTTTAATAATGTTCACTTACCACATCAATTGGATATTCTTCATCATCATCATCTGGTGCTATCACAGTTTGCACCATAAATTTGTGTTTATTTTTTTCCGACGGATCAAAATCATATGGTTGTAAGCATACTGTAATAAAATTATGATTTATGATATTATAAAAGAAAACAAGCTCTTTCGATATTTTACAAATATAAATCATGAAAGAGATACGCTCAAAAATAATAGGACTTTAATAGTTATATAAAAAAATAAAATTTGCATTTTATTTAATTAATGCTGGATTAAGACTCAGACCTGCTATTTCAGTGACATCCTTTGGCTTGAGAGCTCCAGAGTTTGGACGTACACAGTATCTCTTTGGGGCAGTTGTCTTTATCTTAAAATATACCTTTTTATTCGTTGGGTTAATTAATTTTATATATGATGTGACTGGGCCTCCTGTAAAAGGGCCTGCAACATATTAAACATTAAATTACAAAACTACAAAATTACAGAAATTTACAGTGAAATGTTGCTGTTTATGAATTCAATGTCAGATAAATGTTTACATCTCTTTTTACAGTAGATTTATAAAGTAGAGATCATAAAGATCAAGAACATATAAAAAGGATATAATAAACATATAAAAAAGGAACGTGTAAAAAAAAGAAATTATTCTGGAAATATTAGCAATGAGAATGCAAAGTACAAAGATTATGAATGTTAATACTTGATCAACGTACAAATATTTGACGCAATTAAAAAATACTAAATACTTTTTCACGAATTATTACTATTCACATTCAGCTCTGCTATACAATTAACAAAATTCTTATATTTCCTACGAACATTATCGAAGCAAAATTACTCTCAGATTTGATAAATCATCTCGTCTCTCTTCAAAGAAGAAAGAAGTATCAATCAAGATGTTAATCAGTCTATAGTTACTAATCATGCAGATATTAGATAGTCATCGTTAGACAACGTTCAAGTTCCGTCCGAACGAGAAATAAGTGAATTTACGCGTAAGCTTATTAATTGTTATCGCTAATCAAATGAAAAAAGGTCAGCCGTCGTTAATTACAAATTACTTACATACTTCATTATCGTCGATATTAATGTCGTCATACCGTATGATATAAACAAGAAATAAACGTGTTGCAAATTCACTTAATAATAGTAAGTAGAGAAAAATACGTAAAGGAGGGAATAATCAACCGAGGGAACACGATTACGAATTGTTTTCGGCTCGAGTGTGTTTCGCAGTCCCGATAACGAAATCGTCGAAGCGGCGATAGGCCGCGAAAGATCGGCAGGCAGCTCGAGTGTTTGCCCCTTGATTTGCACTTGCAGCACGCACGCGACACCTCGGCCATAGTCGAAGGACGTTACATCACTCGATTTGAGAATAATTAATGAGACGCGCATTTTCACGGCAATCAGCGAGAACGAATGTGTTAGGGGACAGCGATGTCTCTCGAGATGACAAATGAAATTCCCCTCGGCGTTGACGGCATGCGTGTATCGCGATTATCGAGCGAGCGATTCGTCGCACGTGCGAGCATCGGTTTCTCGTCTTCATGCGAAATTCTAAGGCGGAAATTCTAACGCCGAATACGCGGCGTGCGCGTAGGCGGAGAGATAGAGAGAGAAAGAGATCAGAGTTCAATGTTCTCTGGATTTCGCGAAGAAAATTTAATTCCGAGAAATAGGAAAAAAGAAAGAGAGAGAGAGAAAGAGAGAGAGCAAAGACCGAGGGGAATCCGCCAATAGTATTTGGATCTATCGCCGGCCTTCCGTCGCGTAGGCATAAATAAACGAGGCTCTTATGGATTACTGGCGCGAGCGACGGAGGCTAAGTGGAACGGCGGTATAAATTCAATAAATAGGTTTTCCACGTATCGGCGATTAGAGCGATCGTCTGAGAAGGGCACTGGGGGAAGAGCCGACCGTCGCGGGCCGATCGATGGCAACACGCACGTTTCACAAAAGACCGGGAAACGATCGACCGATCTCTCTCTCTTTCCGTTCCGTCACACGAGGGGAGAAAAAAACGACACGGAAATGCGGAAACGGGTAGAGAGGGCGCCGAGAGCCATAGCTGCCCGTTCTGCCCGCTTATCTCGTCGGGTGAGATCCTCGAGGAATTTTGATGTCCTCGCGAGAAAATCGAATGGACGGACAGACGAATCTACGTTCGTTTCTCGGCGCGTCGCCGCGACGGCGGATCGCGACCGATCTGACAGCGGATTAACGCACGGATGGGACGGATGGGGTTAGGTGCGGGCCAGCGACATCGCACGCTCATCAAGGAACGAAGCCGCGACCTCGCGGCTCCTCGCCGCTCCTCGCCGCGAGCGGCACGACGTGACGCGACGCCGTGGCATGGATGCGATGCGAAGCAACGGCCGCGATTACGCAGCACGATTCGCCGCGCGAGGAAACGAAGAACGCACGAGCGAGAGCGGCCGTGCGAGCGAGACGATCCGTGGCCTTACGTCATCTTGACGACGTAGCTCCGTCGTGTCGAGCTCCTCGTCGCGACGGCGACGTGCGCGGGTGGCTCGCTCGACTTGGACGACGAGCAGCTCGGGGCGGGAGGGAGCGTGAAAATGACAGTGGTCAAGGAATAAAGGAAAAAAAAAAAAAAAAAGTAGAAAATACGAACGCGCGGGTTGAAGGATGAAACGACTTGATCTCTAAGTTTCAGCCTACCCCTGAATCGCAGCTCGTTCTGCGGCTCGATAAGTAAAACCTGCTCGGGTTTTTCGACGGGCTTCGACGACATCCTGACTGACGGACCAAAACGGACTTCCCGACGGACAAGTCACGGCTTTGTTGCTGTCTTCCACCACCTCCTCCTCCTCCTCCTCCGTCTCCGCCGTCTCACCACCTCCGCCGCCTCCTCCTCCTCCGCCGCCGCCGCCGTCTGCTGAAGCGCCAACGGGTGGTCGACGACGCGTTGGGCCCCGCGTATTGACAAGTTTGTCTAGTGCTCTGCTCGTCGCGATTCCCCGCGTCGGCCGTGTACAACAACGTCGTGCGTTCGTCCCGTAGCGTGCCGTGTCTTTCCGAGATTCCGTTGAACTGATTCCGATTCGTGGCTGGCGTTCGCTGCGCATGCGCCGCGACGGGGAACTGTACGAAGTGTAGAGGCCGCGTTACGTCACGCCACGGTCGGTAAAGCGGTTTGTTCGGCTTTTCATTTTTGCACTCTCACCAACGATTAACTGATTAACTTTAAACTCGGTTTATCTTAATTTTTTTATCTTCTTGATTCTAGAAATTAAAGAGAGATAAAGATTAAGTTAATGCGAGATTGAAAATAATAAACGATGGTAGAAATGAACATTCCTAGTCAATTGAAGGTAGCCGTGCCATATTTTCCATATTTAAATCGAGATGGATATATATTTGGCTATCGAAGAGAAAAAGAAAAAAGATCTAATAAATGCAGAAAGTTTAGAAAGAATAAATGATTGTGATCTTGATTTGTATATTTTTCTTTCTTTCTTTTTCATTTTCGCTCGCTTCAAAATAAGAAAATTCGTTTCCGCTTTTTATGTTTTTATTATTTCCTCATTAGCTGAGTGCTACACTTTTCGTATTTAAATTGAGATGGATATGTAATTAAACGTCGGAGAAAAAAGAAAAAATATAATAAATGCAGAAGGTTAGAAAGAACAAACCTTGAGTTTTATCTTTCTTTCATTTTTCACTTTTATTCGCTTCGAAATAAGAAAATTCGTTTCTGTGTCCTGTATTTTTTCTGTTTTTTTCATTTTTTAATACTATTTTATTTTGTTCGCCATTTGAGTTGATCGGTTTTTTCCACTCGCTCTTCCGCGGCCGAATTAACTGTTCTTTCATCTTCAATCACCCGAATGTTCCTTTTGATCCCATCTATGCCTAATGAGCATGCGTGTGAGAATGTTCGTAGTTATATGTGTGTGCATATATGTGTGTGTGGAGCACGCGCGTCCCTAACCTCTTATTGCATTCGCGAACGATTGTTAAAAAAAGAAAAATTCGCGATTAATTCTCTAAAATTTCGACTCTGAAAAAAAGAATTACGATCGAAATAAAAAACATCGCGCTGCAAAACTAATTCTTTCTTAATTTTTTTGTAATTTAACAACGACGAGTTCACGCGGACCGGCTCGTGATGGCCGAATGTTGGGACACGCCAAATTTAAACGGGGATGTTTTTAGGAACATAACGTTCATGAAAAATCGTACACCCGTTGATACCAGGCAGCTACAAGTTCTCTTAATTTACGACGGTAAAAAGCATGCTCACAACTCCAATCTCTTTGTTTGTTAATCATCATATCTAATCCTATGTTAATCTCTATTGTAGAAAACAATGCTATTCTTGGAGGTACTAACATGGTTGATCTCTATTGGAACGGTACTTTCTGGTATTATAATGATATTGCAGATTTCTCAAGAGAAAAAGCAACCTTGACACAGCAGATGGACAGTGGAATCTGTGACGCCGCTTATCTGAGTCAAAATAAATTTGCTATTGTAGAGGATAGTGGAGCTGTACAGATCTGTGAGATAATTACTTCCCAAACAGGGAAAGAATTCCGTCAGCTCGAATATGCCTGTCAGCACGACGACAGTATCTTGACAGTATCAGTATTTTCTAATAAAAAAACATTGTCACAGGAGGGATGGATTGTTGGTAAGATATTTCTAAAGTATCTGATATCAAGAAAACAATATTAATCTTATTATTTGTTATAGTTTAAAAATCTGGGATGTGGAGGATTTAATCACAACTTATTCGTACAGTTATGCACATACAGATGTTATCACTAGTATAGATGTAAATCCTATATGCGATTCTATATTTACATCAGTCTCTTTAGATTGTGAATCGTTACTCTGGGACATTAGACAAGCTAAACCAGCTACTTGTATGTTTATTTATGATCATTTTATCTTGTTTATCTCTTCTATATCTTTCAAATTGTTTTTCAATTTTTTTTTCTTTAAAGATATTTTTAAGAAAAATGAAAGTCCTTTATCAGCAGTAGCCTGGAATACTACCTTGGATCATCTCATAGCAATAGGTACAACTGATGGTAACATTGCATTAATAGATATCAGACAAACGGAGACACCATTATATGAATCAATCGAATGTGATAGAGGCATACATAAGTTGTTATTCAATCCAAATCCAGAAAGGTAAAGATTTACTGGAAATAACAATTTACTCAACTGTACAATAGCTCATACAGAATATCTCTTATATAGTATACTCTTGATGTGATAAGTTGTTAAAATAAAAAACTTATCTATTTTCCAGGAAAGAACAATTGGCGTGTTGTTTTGATAACACATTGGTAAAGGTACTCGATACTCATAGAGAATTGTTGCAGATATATGAAGATAATAGTCATAACGATTTTGTACGAGGACTCGCATGGTGTAAAGACGATTTATACTCGTGTTCTTGGGACGCAAATGTGATTAAACATTCTTCTAAGAACGATAGTTCAAGTTAATGACACATAAAAAATTGTGTGATATTAAAATTATTTTCTACTTCATAATAAAATATTCAATTTATTATTTGAAATAACACCTCGATATAATGAACATGCCGCGAGAGATTGAATACTATTCATTATGTATCAATGACAAATACTGATCGCAACTAGGAGAGAACTTCATGTTAATTCAAAATTCACAAGAATAATCAAAAATTCACAAGAAAGGTGCGTTCAATTGTTAAATCGTAACTTCACTTTACAAGCAGTGATACAGATGTAATTTTAGTGCATTTAACATATTGGAAAACATTCCTCTTGTATTTATTTAAATTTCTTGATCAGTCAAAACATTTCAGACATTTCTACAATATAATTACGATACTCTCTGTTTATTCTATATTATTCATATTGCAGAAAAAGAGAGAAAAATACCTGAAATATCTAAAGATTATCGCTATATATAACAGTAATGTAAAGGAATCAAACATATCAATATAACAAATTCCTGTATCTTATGGATTTAAAAAAAAAATGATATCCTTAACATAATTTAAACAAGTCTTTCTTTTTCTTTTTGATTCTACAGTGTGTACGGTATATCAAATATCCAATAGGATTTTTTTATTTACAAAATAAAGTCAATAATAACGTGAAGAAAATATCACAAATAAAAGTTTAGCATCACAAAAAGTATCTAAAAAAATTAGAAAATTATTTCCAGCATAGTGAAGATGATGAATTAAAGATACAATATATATGTAATGTATATGCAGAGTTTCAGTAAAATAAACGTGCGAATATTCCGTGGTGCATAGAATCTACATATATATTCTTTGTATCGGAGAAAAAATTGCGAATTAGTTCTACCGAACACACGGTAGATAACATTTATTTGTCGTAAATATATTTTAAACATTTAAATTTTATATTTGTTGTACTGTAATTTGTAGGACTGATTAGTAGGACAACTGCATAAATAATTTCTTGTAAGTACATTAATATCAAACTTGTTTATGCATATAACGTACATGGATAACGTGAAATTTGTCCAGAAAGAGATGGCAAGAAAGACAGTATAATTGTACAGTATCTTCCTTCACATTATATTATTACTATATTATATCCCCATTTGTATTATGCTGAATTCGTGTATGCGCGCGTCATTTAAACCATGTGTCATTTAAAAGTTGAAACATTTCTCATGACACAAAAATGTGCGGATGTCAATTTTCAGTTGAAAATACTTTGATACTCTATTGATATGAATTTTCTCTATCTCGGTTTATCTATCAGTGCCAGATTAAATCTGCGATTATAAATTCTACATCTACATGATCATCCTTGCATATAAAAACTTGAAAAGAGTAGCGCGTACATGAGTTAAACATGATTATTGTTTATCAATAGGAAAAGCAATTAACGTATCTAACATGATCAAGTGTACCTAACACTGCATTGAATTGCACATTGAAGATTTCATACCAAATTGAAAATATCGGGTCCTCAAATAATTTTCATTTGTGGCACCAAGTTAATAACGAATGTTCATGTCGATGAGAATACATGTAATAGCCAATGGCTGCGTAGTCTCGTTCGATGACTACAAACGCATATTTTGTTCATTGTATTACAGAAATTATTAAAATCGTTATGTACAATTCTCTCTTTATGTATCGAGATATAATTGTGTATCGAGACTAACGCGGCATGTAGCTCTCATATCGACATTCACCACTGTTATTTTTATCTATGTAGCGTTACATAGTATTATATATGTATTCTGTTGTTACGCTGCATATTTTTTTTATAACATAATCTGTCTTTTCTTTTTCCCCATATCAATAATGCTTATATCCCACATTGTTGAGCATTTGTATCAATTACAATCCAAATTCTTTATCGTCGTCTTCCGGCCTTACGTCCCCATACATCCAGATATTGCGATGGTTGTGCTTCGCGTCTTCTTCAGCCTTCTTATATTCCTCGATCTGCAAATAATAAATATAAGTATATAAATATAAATCATCAATTTTATTACGATAAATGATTACGCATACAGCAAAGATAGACTAACCAGTTTAACGAGCCTCCTATCCCGATGTTTCTGAACATGCAAGAATCCGTCAGAGATAAGACCTTTTCCGATATCTTCGTTTGTGCTAGGATGCACCAATGTTACGGCGGTTACGTTGTTACCTAACTTGTACTCAACATTTAAGAGCAAGATTTTGTCCAATACATCTTCCTTAAATGCGTCCACCGCCGCTCTCTTGTCATCCGTCTATAAAAACGCCATTTAACATTTACATATATATTTATTTTCAAAAAATAAATTGTAAAAGGATAAATCATATTTACGTCGCTCGGAAGTGTTACGCACGCGAGTGCGTATTCGTGAGCGTATGGTTTATCGGTCGCGAAACGCGCAGGTAGATCGGCGACTCGCGTAACATTGAGGGTCTCTCTGTTTCCGTAATCGATGTAGAAGACGCTGACGTTGGTACCGGAGACCTTTTCCGTTTTCACACGATACCACTGATCGTCACCGCTGAATTTCGCGACCGCTAGATCTCCCCTGGTCGGCTTGTAAGCACCAGGAAGTGGCGGGTTAGCAGCCAACTCCTGACGTAATTGCAAAAGCATGCTCTCCAATAAGCTACCCTGATCAACAAATTGAGCGTAGAAATGAAGATCATCGGTAACCTCGGAGATTACAACTTTCTGGTAATCGATCTTGCGCTCCTGCCCTTCTTTCTCATCTACGATCTTGTCAGTCTCCACCGGTGTTTCCACGCGATTCTTCCAGATCTACAACGTAAATCATATTTCAGTTTTCTGGAAAAGGCACATTATTTAGTAATTAGGCGCGTTTACTTACATTAAGTTTCTTCGTTTTTGCACGTTCCTCTGCGGCTTTAAGAGTTCTCGTGACTTCTCCAGAGTCTGGGAAATTCACGACTTCAGCCAAACCTTCTTCGACCAGAGCGACAGACATATTGACATCGTTCACCGTTAGCCAACCGATGAAACCGCTCAACTTTGACTCCGTATTCTCGATCTTGATCTCCACATCTCGTTGGAAACAGTGCTCCTTGGTGAAGGCGAGAGCTTTCTCACCGTATTCGTCGGCTTTCACCACTCCGCCACCGGGCAGCGTTCGCTGACAGCGCGGAGTTCTTATTCCAGCCAGTACGAACGTGATGACGTAATCCTCTTTGGGAAGATAGAGCTTCAACCGCGAGCCGCTCGTCACGAACTCAACAACCGCTCTTATTCCCTGCGCCCGTTTGAGCGAAGTCAAGAATGCTTTCGCCTTTGAGGGATCGTTCGAGAGATCCACTATTCTGTGAACTGGAATGTCTTTCTTCGCGTGCAACCCGTGCTGCGATTTCTCTGCCTTGCTCTCAGCTACTTGCAAGAGATTGTAGTGAGAGGAACGCTGATCATCGTTCTGTCTGTACTTGATCACTCGCGCGAGACCCCTAGCGACCAGTGCCTCTGCGATGTTTCTGTTGGCATAGTAACAAGATAGAAATTATCAATTATTGATAATTCATAATGTAAATCATAATTAGAAAACAAGCGGATCTCATCGTAAAGATTAATTTACACTTACGTTTTGCCACAGGTTACAGTGCAGCACAGCTTTTCCGGGAAATTGTCCCTAGCCGGCTGTGTATAATCGACCACTACTTTTACATTTTTCCTGATGAATTTCTCACGCAGGAATTCTCGCGCCTCCAACATCCACGGTATGTCATAGAGAGGTCTGAAATCTTTCGGTCGAGTAGTATTGTTGCTGTCCTCGATATTCTTTTTCTCACGAGTAGGTGGACGAATGCTGCTCAGAAATACTTTCTTGTTCTCTCCATTCTGTGTTCGAATGATGAGCGCGTCTGCGTTAACAATTTCCACAACAGTGCCGGTAAATTCAATCTGCGGTCCAGACGGCTTGTAGTCCTTCCATAGGCGCAAACGCGCCTCCTTCGCAGCTTTCTCGGCGAGGTACAGCTTCTCCGCGCCGGATCTACTGTTGCTGATTGACCAATCCTGACATTTCGCGAAACCCTCGCTCAGCAGAATTTCAGCAATATTTCCTAATAAAAAAAAAAAAAACAACAAATATGTTCAAACAATCTCAATCTCATTACGAACATTTATTACATATAATTTATCATATGCAGACGCTCATTTAACGTAATTTGCCTAATCTACCTTTGGGATGAATAATGCTGCCAATGAAGTTGTTATTGTTAACCGATTCCAGCACGATCTCGACGTCTCTGTGTAAGAGCCGCGATTCTACAAAGTATCTAGCCTCGTCCGCGTAAGGATCGCCGACGGAATTTTCGCGACGTCCGTTGGGCCAGCCCGGACAACGAACGCCCGAAATCATCAACGTTATATTATAAAAATCGGGTAGAAGAAAAGCCTTCACGGTAGAGCCATCGAAGACGAACTCGATTACTGCCTTGATTGGTTTTTTGCCGAATTTTTCGACCAATTTCCGGGGATCATCAACGGTCCATTTGATGTCCCGCACGTGCTCGGAAGCCGGCGAGTCCGACCACTTTCCTTTCTTCGCGGTCTTCGCGATGTTTTCCAATTCGACCAATCGTTGTTGCTCAGCAGTAGGATTGCGATTGTCTTTCTTGACGGTTACCAGACCCTCAGATACCAAAGTTTCGATCACGTTCTCGCCATTTCTATCTGTATGATGATCATCTCGATTATATGTGAAATATAATCAATTTTTCAAATTCTAATACAAATAACAAATACCTTTTCCTAACCAGACAGTTCCATATGTTCTGGCTGTGTTCACTGATTTTTCAGTAGCAAAGGTGACATCTTGACCAATCAATTTCCGGCGTAAGAACTCCCTGGCTTCCCATGCATATGGCTCGTCTTTGGTTTCATCCATGCTACAAATATATAAGTCGTTATTCATTTTTGTAATTGAATTACTATCTATATGTATTTATATAATCAAAAATCTCTCCATAACCCAAAATTTAGAAAATAATTAGGAAAAAATATATATGTACCTATCATTTCCTTTCCAACGTTCTAACTTTGGAGCGGTAATGTTGCACAAAGTGATGGTTACCTCAGGTGGAGGACCTCCCATAGGTTGTCCACGGATGACAACGGTATCTCCCGATGTCACCTATGGAATTATTAAATCATAAGAAATCTTAAAGTATTCCATTTTACTATACCTTGACTCGAATTACACTACCAATTATGCAACTGCTAATATCTTATAAAATTTTCTCGAATTGTAGAGTGAAATTGCTAGAATCGTAACAAGCTCTCACTGGAGGCACTCGATAAAAGATAAGGGAAAAGACAAAAAAGGCGAATGTAAAAAAGGCAATAAATATTCTCGTTAACGTGACAAATATTTAAGAAATATATCTGGAAACACATGAAGGAACGTCGCATGGCGACGATACTCCGGATTGCCACCATATGCTTCCTGCCAGCTGGGCGTACGGGCAGGAAAGCAACATCGTGGACGACCACGAGTCACAAGTATCGTTCGCGCGAGAGGCCGGTGGCGTACGGCGGAGATCCCTCACCTGCTTCACCACCCCGTTCCGCAGTTTCACCGGTGCCTGGGGTGCGCTCATGGTGCCGTTGACGACGGTCTCCTCCTCGGGACAGGAAAGTCGGTGCGAACAACGTCGGTACGCTCGGCTCCAGTGATCCGCACGTGCGCTCTCGATTCGAGAGTTCGGTAGCAGCTGCGCTCGTGACTGCGAGTTATCGCTCCTCGTGGTGCGTTCCGAAGGGAAGAGGGGGAGGGGGGAGAGGAGGAGAGGAAGTTGTTCTCGCGAGGCGGGCTGCTAACTCAGGAGCTCGAACGAGTTGACATGTTGGCCGCTGAGACTTTTGCGGAGGCAACAGAAGACTGAGACGAGGCGAGGCCCTTCACACACACACACGGCTCTTCGACACTTCACGGTCCCTTACGTTCCCACGTAAAAGGCGTTCGGCCGCGACGAGGGGCAGCAATAAGAGGTAGCCTGCGATGTCGGTGCGAGCGCGACCTACACACCGCGAGTATACGCTCCGAAGTATTCGCTTGGATTCGGTGGTGATGTGGCAACACGCACGCGACAACACGCCACACGCCGCGCGACACGGTGTCGCACTCTACGCTCCGATTTCGAGTTACGAGCTGGCGCGCATGAGAGGGGGGGGGGGTCGGCCGAAATGAGAAATCGCGTCCGGAAGGTCCGTTCGTTTTACCACCTTTCGCACCTGGCCTCGCGCAGTAATGTCCTCTTGCTCCGCTTCTCTCCCGCGCGCGTACTCCAGAGTGCAGAGGGTGGCAGCAGATGCACGCCACTTGAGAAAGAGCAAACTCACTCCGCGTGATGTTAGGTTAGGTTAGGTTAGACGATCCGATTATTGCCATGAAAAATATTTTTTATTTATTAGAGCTTGAATGTTGATCATAATTTATTATGGCAATCCCTGATGCGTTTTTGTTAAAAAAATATCAGGAGAAAATTTATCGCTGAACTTATTGAAAGAAAATTTGTATATTAGAATTTAATATTTTTATCAAACAATTTATAAATTTTGCTTAGGTAATTAAAAAGTAAATGATTAATCTCGGCAATTGGTGTTCTCTCAGTCCCAACGGTCCATTCTGTAACTTGCTCCTAGCAAATTAAAAAAATTATATACATATTACAATTTAACTCCTTTATTATCACGCTTTTATATCCCAATAAACGTATTAATTAATAACATTTATATCTATATTAGATATAAATGTCCATTCAACATAATAAGTGTAATATATATGAATTGTATGTTACAACTATATTGTTAAATGAGAAATTTTAATATTTATATAACATCGGGAAAAAATTGTTATGTAATCATTTTTTAGTACTTAAATTTTAAATAATTAAAATTAAAAAACTTTATTGTAGCTATATCAATTGATGTAAGAAAATACGTATTGTTGTCTGATTAATTACTGTTATAATAATTTAATTTTCTATTAATATTTTATGTATTATTAAAGGACTCAAGTAATCGAATCAAAATGTTTTATTTTTGTAATTATTCAATTTCTTTTATATATTGATAGCTAGTATTGTCTTTGTTTTTCTTTCTATATTTAATTTGGATTTCAGAGCTTTGTTTTATTCATTTTATATTTTTGCTATAAGAAAGAATTAAATGCAAATTAAAATAAAATGGAAGATTAAGAAACAATTAATAGACAAAATACTTGCATTTTTCAATTCTCATGACATAATTTTAAGTATAATATGAAATTTAAAAAAAAACTCAAATTATTCATCAATTATTTTTATCAAACACTATTTAAAATCAAAATATTTTTTAGATTACAGAATGACGAGTTATAATTTTTCGAAATAAAGGATTCGCAGAATGTGGATGTAATATCTGGATGAAGATACTTCAAAATTGATTAAATACGATTCCTTTTATTTTACTGCGCATGTTTACATGTTTATTCTATCAACTAATTTGAGGTGATATCGATGGAATGATGTAAGTATGAAATACGCAAAAATACGAAAGAATGTTATTGTGAAGTGAAAAACGAATCGGTATGTAAAATGTAAGAGAATGCATGGTTTAACATAATTAAACGGCGAACTGGTCTTTGCTTGTCGATAGAATTGTGTGCGGAAAACAGAATTCAGAAGTCTGTTCAATATTCTGTAAAGTTAATACAGATGCTCATTTGCTCTAAGTATGCATGACACATATCTCACCGGCAAATAAGGACCAAAATAAACAAAAAAAAAAAATGGATGAGAACACTCGAGACAATAAATAAAACTAAAAACAGTCTCTCGTTTCGCGGGGTCTAAAGTCTTTGGATTTGAGACTTATTAATATTTCACAATTCTTGCGATTTAATTTAAAGCTTAATCTACTTCCTCCATCCTCGACGCCTCTTCCGTGTCACCCTCCAACGTGGGCACTTCCATATCCATCTTCTCGTCTTCAGCGTTCGACGTATCTTCGTCGTCAAAGCCCAGACCGAGCTTGATCATTCTGTATATTCTAGATGCATGCACCTGCGGGTCCTCGAGCGCGAAGCCGGACGACAAGAGAGCAGTCTCGAACAACAACATGACTAGATCTTTGACAGACTTGTCGTGCTTATCGGCCTCAGCCTTTTGCCTCAGATTCTCCATGATAGGATGATCGGGGTTGATCTCGAGATGTTTTTTCGCAGCCATATATCCCATGGTAGACGTGTCACGGAGTGCCTGTGCCTTCATGATTCTCTCCATGTTTGCCGTCCAGCCGTACTGCGACGTGACGATGCAGCAAGGAGAATCGACCAACCTGTTGGATACTACCACCTTCTCTACCTTCTTATCCAAGATATCCTTCATAACTTTGCAAAGATTTTCAAATTTGGCTTTATCCTCCTCGCGCTTCTTCTTCTCCTCCTCATCCTCTGGCAATTCCAGACCCTCCTTTGTGACAGACACCAACTGCTTTCCATCGAATTCCTTCAATTGCTGAACGACATACTCATCGATGGGCTCCGTCATGTAGACGACCTCGAAGCCACGCTTCTTCACGCGCTCCACAAACGAACTGTTGGCTACCTGCTCCCTGCTCTCGCCAGTGATGTAGTAAATGTGCTTCTGGTTCTCCTTCATTCTACCAACATAATCCTTGAGCGAACACATCTCGTCGCCGGATGCAGAAGTGTGATAACGCAACAGCTCCGACAGCTTCTTTCTATTCTGGCTATCTTCGTGGATACCCAGTTTCAAATTCTTGCTGAATTGCTCGTAGCACTTCTTGTAATTCTCTTTGTCTTCTGACAATTCCTCGAAGAGTTCCAGGCATTTCTTGACAAGATTCTTTCTGATAACCTTTAGAATCTTATTTTGTTGCAGCATCTCACGAGAAATGTTCAGGGGTAAATCTTCGCTGTCTACGACGCCCTTGATGAAGTTCAGGTATTCTGGGATCAAGTCCTCGCAATTGTCCATAATAAAGACGCGACGCACATACAGTTTAATGTTGTTCTTCCTCTTCTTGTTCTCAAACAAGTCGAAGGGCGCGCGACGTGGGATAAACAAAAGAGCTCTGAATTCAAGCTGTCCTTCAACCGAGAAATGCTTCACAGCCAGATGGTCTTCCCAGTCGTTGGTCAAGCTCTTGTAGAACTCGCCATACTCCTCCTGCGTAATGTCATCCGGATTTCTCGTCCAGATCGGTTTCGTCTTGTTCAACTCCTCGTCTTCGGTGTATTTTTCTTTGATGGTCTTCTTCTTCTTTTTCTTCTCATCCTTAGGTTTATCTTCTTCCTCATCCTCGCCGACATCCTCAATCTTGGGCTTCTCATCCTCTGTCTCACCCTCCTTTGCGGGCTCCTCCTCCTCGTCCTCACTCAGTTCCTTGTCTCGTTCCTTCTCGACGACAAGTTTAATGGGATAGCCAATGAACTGAGAATGCTTCTTGACGATTTCTTTGATCTTCGACTCCTCGAGGTATTCCGTCTGATCTTCCTTGATGTGCAGGATGATCTTAGTGCCTCGTCCAATAGGTTCGCCGTTATCAGGACGAACGGTGAACGAACCACCAGCAGAAGACTCCCACAAGTACTGCTCGTCATCGTTATGCTTGGAGATTACGATGACTTTATCAGCTACGAGGTACGCCGAGTAGAAACCTACACCAAACTGTCCAATCATGGAAATATCAGCGCCTGCTTGCAGGGCCTCCATGAATGCCTTTGTGCCTGACTTGGCGATTGTACCCAGGTTATTTACAAGATCAGCCTTAGTCATGCCAATGCCACTGTAAAAAAATTTAATTTAAAAACAACTGTTTAAAAACAACTATTATACACTGTATATCATACACTTATCTTTATGACAGATTAATACTTACGAATCAAGAATTGTCAGGGTACGATCGTTCTTGTTCGGAATAATTTTAATGAATAGTTCCTTACAGGTATCCAGCTTTGATGGATCCGTAAGTGATTCATAGCGGATCTTGTCCAACGCCTAAAATGATTCACAAAGATTTCAGTAACAAAATTCATCATGTATCCATATTTATTTGATTATTCGTAAATTTATACAATTTTTTATTTTCTTAATACTCATGAATAACAAACAGAAAGATAGTGTTATATATTAATTACTACATGATATAAAATTTACATTCATTGAATTTCGTTAAAATAAAATATAATAAATATGCAGTATAACACTCTCTTCCAATTATAAATTTGTATATTTTCATGTATAGAATATATTCTGAAAAGAAAAATCGTCAATCAAATCTTATTTTAATTTCAAAATAATAAATTTTGAATCACTATTCTCTGCTATAATTTAAGTTATATAAGAAAATAAGAATAAAGAAAATATTTTTGATTAATTAAAACAGATAATGTGATAAATATGCAGCCATAAATTATCATTTTTTATCATTTATCGATGTCAAATCGAAAGTAAAAAAAAATTAAGAGCGACGATTTTCTTTCTTAAAATATATTCTATGAAAATTTTAGAAAAATTGGAGGAAAGAGCATTGTACACTACATATTTATCTAAAATATAAAATTACGAGAGAATTTCGAAAGAATTTTCAATTAGATAAGCCAGAAAATGTAGGACACGTGAGGAAAAATTTCATTATTTAATTAAATAAAAAAACGACGGTGTACTCACATCGGACGAGTTGGAAATCAATTCTCGGATGAAGATTTCCTTGTTCGAGTAAAAGGTATTGATGATCAAACTCATCAACTGGGCGATCTCGGCCTGGAAGGCGAAGGTCTCCACCTCGCCGGCATCCGTCATGCTCACGTCTTCGGGCATCCTTGCGATATCAGTCGGACGAGATGCAGATCGGTGAATAGAACACTACAGACGCCGAACGTACGAGCCACAGAATCACACTGCAAATTCGAACGTAGACGTACGGTGTACGCGGGGAGAAAATCAGTCGCGAAACAACGAACCGCTCAGCACGCAGTCACAGAGGTGAGTATTCAATAGTGGCGCGTCGCGTCGGCTTTTATCGAGCGCCGAATATTCTAGAAAGCGGAAACTGCCGGCTTCTAGAATGTTCTATCAAGCGAGCATCTCGAGACGAGTCACGAGCGGAATCGCGTGTCGCGCGGCAGGTGACATTGTCGTGAAAATTAATCGGGCGAATTAACGATTCGAGAGGAGCGTCGATTTTCACGCAGAGATTTTCCGTTCGGCGTCGGGCCGGTCTCTCGCTCGCTTGACTCGCGCATCACCGGAAGTGACGGAGCTCTCAGGAGAATCTAGAACCATCGCGATTACTCGCAACGTGCTCTTTGAAATAGACGGACGCATGTACATGTCGCGTGTGCGTGTGTAATACGCATAGCTGTGCACGTGCGACGACGCGATCGACCAATGCTCTCTCTCTTTCTCTCTCTCTCTCTCGCTCGCTCGCCGAGTTCGAGGCTTTTCTCGGCGTACCGGAGATAATTCTGGACCACATAGGCGGCGGCGGCGCGTCGTTTCCGCACTTTTATCTCTTATTGAACGTCCTATTCATTTTTTCTGATTATTCGAATTCAGATAATTCTACATAGAAATGATCTCTTCCCGCGTAACGACTCCGATGATGTAGATCGTTTTCTCTCCTATTGTAAAAGCTGGAAATTTATTAACGACTTTCCGACGAGAATTTTGTCGATTCGAACTGTGCTCCGTTTATTTTCTGCAGCTCCAATTTCCACGGCTTTTTCGATTCGCCGAGATTCCTTGAAATCGCCTGATCGTGATTTGAGAACGTGTCGGCCGATCATGTCGCCGATTGTCGTGGCGCTCGGCGTCGTTTATGTCGATAATTTATGTAGTCTGTTCTTTATAGCTGATTAATGTACACTCATCGTACTTAAAATGTAATAAATATATATTCAAAGTTTGACAAAAGCGAAGTAGAAGGTGTAGTGTAGCCCAGTGTAAAAATGGAAAATAAATCTAATATCAAGCTACATTCTCTTGCGCTTAATCAGATTTCTTGTTTTACGTGTATTTTTCTGACAGGACGTCCGTTGCGTCCGTTGCGTCCGTTGCGTCCGTTGCATCACGTCGTGTCGTATCGCACGTAGTCGGCAATTCTGATTCAATTATGGATCCCGGTATCCTTTCCCGGCTGATACCGCAGAGCAAGGAGCAAGTGCGACCCGCCTGCAAGAAATGCGGCTACGCCGGGCACTTAACCTATCAGTGCCGCAATTTCATCAAGATCGATCCCAACAAGGAGATCGTCCTGGATGTGAGCAGTACGAGCTCGGACAGCGATGAGAATTACATCACCCCGCTGACGGAGTTGCGCGAGCGTGAGCTGCGGAGGAAGCTGCGGGAAGCGCGGAAGAAGCGCAGGGAAAAGAGGTCCAAGAAGAAACGCAAGAGGAAGCACGAGAGCTCGGAGGACAGCAGTGACAGCGACAGCGATAGCGACAGCGACAGCGACAGCGACAGCGAATCCGAGTCCGAGTCGTCGTCCAAAGAGAAGAAGCGAAAGCAAAAGAAGCGGAAAAAGAGCTCGAAACGCAAGAAGCGCAAGAAGCATAAACGGGAGCGTAGCACATCCGGGAGCGAAGGAAGCGACAAGAAAAAATAAATCGTTCACGAGTTCCGGAGTTCCTGAGTGACCTCCAATTCTTTCCAGTTCTTTCCGTACTGTGAATATTGAACGGTATCATGACTATAACGTTTCGGTAATCCGCGCGCGCACGCTCGAACTCACGTCTCGACGTTTCGACGAGGACATCACCTTTGCCATCGTTCCACTGACTCAGACTTTGTAAATAAAAGCTGTGTGCATTCTTTTCTTTATAAGGAGCTTATAATTTCTACCGCAATATTCTTAACAAACGTCGTGACGTGAACACGTGAAAAAAGGAAGAGAATTTCAGAGGTTTTTTTTATTATGCATTTTTTTTTTTAGATTCACTTTGATCAGATTCGATGATTTATTTATATTTATTTCTTCTAATGATTAATTTAAATTTACTTTTTATCTTTTTCAATTTCTAAAAATAAATTAAATCGAGATTAAAATTAATTCACATCAGTAGAAATGTTTCAATAGAATATTAGAAAGAAATAAGGAGAAAATTAATGTCTATTTTTATCAATTTAGATTAATTTCAATTTCGATTTAATTTTATTATTATTTTTTTATTTAAGAATTAAGAAAAGTGTAGATTAAAATTAATTTACATTGGTAGCAATGAATATAAAAGAAGTAAATTTAAACTGAAAGAAAATGGAATTGAAAGATTTAGTAGAAATTAATATTAATAATTATAATAGACATGAACATTAATGATTGATAGTGCAATTAATTTATCAAATGAAATATGCCAATTTGTTAAAGTATTTATTATATAATTTGCAGGAAATAGGTTGCGTAGCTAGGAGAAGAGATTAGATTAGTAATTAATCGGATTTTCTTCTTCAAACCGGATAAATTAATTATCAATTAAGTTTATCAGTTAAGTTAAAGTAGCTTTTTATGCTGATATTCTGATTTCTAGCACAGTCACCATCTTAACGAGTCTGACATAAGCCAATCTGTTTAATCATTTTTTATAGAATAGTTTGAAGATTCTAGATAATTCTTTCAAAATTCGCTACTTGCGAAATTTACGATTCGAGGCGTCGCCACAAAAAAATGATTTCCTAACTTAGTCGAAAAGGCGAGAATGAAGAAAGAAAATTTGAAGCGTAGTCACACGTCGACCAATCAGGCGCCAACACGGCAACATCAAATATGAATACTTATGTAAATTCCAAATCTTTGATATTTACGTGACAATCACATGATTATTTTGCTACGTAAAGATATCAATTCGTTGACGCTCGATGTTCATTTTTAATTTTAATATAATTTAAATTAAAATAAATCACATGATTAAAATAAATCACATGATCAAAGTAGTGATGTAGAATAATAAAATATGAATGGTCATTTTTGATTATGTATTCTATTTTAAAGTTGAAAATGAATGTTAGCATAAAAAGACACTTTTAATATTTCGAAATTCAGGAACTAATAAAAGCATTATTAGTGTCTTATCATAAATATATTATATTTATCTCAAAAAATTTTTATATCAGATACGTTTCTATCGTATTTAATTTTATTGTATCATCCAAAAGCATGACTTGTGTGAGTGAGACTTTGCACATAATGGAGGAACAGAAATAAATATTAAATTTTATATAAAGTATATAAATTTTATATATTATTTTGTACACATTTTGAATGAAATAAATATATATAGCTGTATCTTATATTTAGTTAGCTGTATCTTATTTTTAGTTATGTCTATTTTTTTATTACATTTGATCTCCGTTCTTAATTTTCATCTTCAAAATTTAATATTTATTCTTGTATTCTTAAATTCTATTCTTGCTTCTCCATTGTGCTTACATATTTTTTTCGCGGAGTGCTGGGTTATATTAGATCTGTTCTTTTTAGCTGAACTTTTGCACGTTTTATCTTTTCTCCTTTTTACTCCACCCTCGAAAGAAAAAGAGAAGAGATGACGGTGCAAGAAGTTCAACTGAAAAGAATAGATAACGACGCCATACTGGCATTCGTGGCATTCGAGGCGTTTGTTTCTCTCTGTTGAGTTTGTTCATTGTGAGTAGATTTTTGAACGAACGACGCTCGAAGAAAACGAGTAGCGTTGTCTTCGAAGAGAAGAATTATTCCGCGAATTTTTAACTGCGATGACGCGACACGCCAGGAATTGCACAGCGGGTGCGGTGTACACGTATCACGAGAAGAAGAAGGACGCCGCGGCGTCAGGTTATGGCACCAACACTCAACGAGTGGGAAAGGACTCCGTCAAGGATTTTGACTGTTGCTGTCTGACTTTGCAACCTTGCAGGAATCCAGTGATAACGTATGTATCTTATGGAACATATGTGCATTATCACATTGTCAAATATGTGTGTTTTTGTTAACGCTAATGTATGTGATTACAGAAAGGATGGTTATCTATTCGACAAGGAGGCGATATTGGAGTATATTTTGACTAAGAAAAGAGAATACGCGAGGAAGTTGAAGGAATATGAGAAGCAGAAACAAAAGGAAGAGGTAGATTATGGATAAAACTCGTTGCATTTGAAGAAAATTTAATCATTGATATCTGAGCAAATTGATCAATTGCAGTCGAACATTACATTGCGAGAATATTTGTTTGTGAATGGTTAATTTATGGCTTTACAATTAAGATTAAAGCATGTAATTGGCATTATGTGCCAATCCCAAATCTAAATAAAATTGTCAGGATGATTGCACAGTTAATATAGTAATATATTATAGGAACAATCACAAGAACAGACGGCTAATGAGGAACTGAAGAAGCTGCAGAATTTTCTAAAGACTGAGAAGACCATTGTATCAAGTGGTTCTAGTACTTTGGATGAAACTTCAGTTTCCAATATGAAAAATGGCAAGGATAAATTGTTACCAAGCTTTTGGATACCTTCAAAGACGCCGGAAGCGAAAGAAATTTCTTTGCAGAAACCTGACAAGACTATTTATTGTCCTGTCAGTGGAAAACCATTGAAAGTGAAAGATCTGATTCCAATAAAATTCACCGTGGTCCAGGATCCAGATGACAAGAGATCGCTTATTGTTAAACAGGCACGTTACATGTGTCCCATTACACATGATGTTTTGGGCAACAGTGTTCCCTGTGCTGTGATAAAAACAACGTAAGGGCAATGAATGAGCGTTTATCTTTGAATGACAAATAATGATTGTGTAAATATTTAATTATTTTGTATTTACAGTGGTGATGTGGTTACCATGGAATGTGTGGAAAAATTGATAAAAAAGGACTGGATCAATCCTTTAGACAATTCTAAATTGACGCCGTCGGATATCATCCCTCTGCAAAGAGTAAATATTCCAGATATAGTACAGATATAGACACACATAAATCAATGACATGAATATTGATACTAACCTTTATAATTTTTCAGGGTGGAACTGGTTACGCATCTGTTAATGACTCGTTAGAAGGCAAGCATGAAAGACCAGTGTTACAAGCATAAAGAAAAATTCTCATGTTATGTTATGTGTACAGATGTCTTCTATTTATTTGAGAAAGTACAAATTTTAATGTAAATTAAAATGTAGTTAAGAATTAACTAGTTTATGTACATATTATTTAATTTATATATTTTTAATAAACTCGAGCATTGAAATAATGTCTTAACGTTATGCTAGTGTAATATCCTACAATTAGAAATTAGCAAAATTAAAATATGAGAATGTAGAAAGTTAAAAATTAAAGATATTAGGCAAGCATGCATAATAATAACTATATTTATATATAATTGATATATATGCAATTTTAGACAATTTTCTATTTAATTAAAGAAATTAAATTTAATTTATAAATCTATATGTGAAAGTTTCAAAATTTGGAATCTTGTTCGAAAATCTTGTTAGAAAATAAAATGTACATTTCGGACGCCAGGACGAATCTACAATAGAAATGGATAAAGGAAATCATAGGTATATTCTGAATTTTTTATGGAAGGAGTTTTTATTAATTTTTCAGTAATAATTTCAGTAATAATTTTTTGGGTTAATGAATTACTTCTCTGGATCATTTTTAAAATTTAGAATATCTTTCTGATTTTGAGTGAGAAAAAAATATTAAATTTTATTATATTTAATATTATTTAATATCATTAAATAATTTTATTTAATTTAATATTATTTTAATATTATTATATTAGATGAATTGTAACTTTAACTGTTTTTTTAATTTCGGGAGGGGAGTTTGAATTCTTCTTGATACGTTCGTGAATGAGACACGAGAAAAATTCGTCTTGAAATCGACGGGGAATGGGAACGGGGATAGTGGCGCCATCTCGAGCGACATGGTCTTTCAAGGGGAGCTCGCAAAGAAATACGCGCTCCGCCGGGTAAGCGGCAATCTGCGAGACGGCGTTCCAACGGTTCGCTGCCGCGCGTCGAGTCCGCGCGCGCGTTCGAAAGACGAAGTTGAGTTTCGAGTTCTGTGCGTGCGTGCGTGCGTGCGTGTTTTATACGAATTATCATCGAAACGGCCATACAACAACGAGGACAAAGAACGACGACGACAAAGAGGTGAGTGCGCTCGAAACTTTTGCAATTTTACGAGTCTTGACATGCCGCGAATTATCGTATTCGCGACGCGGAAACGCACGTATCTCCTCTTCGCACATTAGTTTCACGTGTTTTTCATCCCTTTCCTTCCTTACAGAGACGCATCGTCCTCTGCACATTCGTACATGGTCGAGTCGTTTCGAGCGCGAAGAGTTCGCGTGGCGAACGCGAATCATGTGAATCTTCGATCCGCGGCGGCGTGGACGATCCTCTGCGCGTTTGAACAGTGCGATCGGCGATTATGACACTCGCGTCCGACAATAAATAGCGTAAGTAGGACATGTAAATGCATCGATTGCCGATCTGTCGCGTGCGAGACAATCCGGGGCTGCAAGCATCTCGCCCGAGCAATGCGCTTAGCTCCAGTTTAATTATCCGCGTACCTTTATGTGCGCGGATAATAGGAATTTCTACGAAGTGATACACGATCGTTGAAAAGGAAAGTTCGGATTTTTCTAAATAACTCGTTTTTCTCGCGTCTCTTCAATGTTTTTCCTACTCTCGCCATTCATTCGCCGAGTTTCTTTTCGCGCAGCGTCGTATATCATACGACTCTTATCAATCTTGAAAAACTCGACGAATCATCAATCGGGATACATTTAAATCGCTCGCATGGATAGTAAAACTAGTGGCACGTAGAAAAATGAACAATAAAAGCAAGTTGAATCAATCAAGTTGAAAATGAGAGGAAATGCAGGACTACATTAAGCGGTAAGCAGTTAGGTCAATCAAATCAAGTTGAGAATCCTCGAAAATGCAGGATTATCACTTCCAGCGATGATCGATCAAATTGTTGACATACTAAAGTTACGTTTTTTCTACGTGCCACTTAAGAAAGCTTGAGAAAGCGCGGGAGCTTTCGACGGCGTTATCGCGCGCGTTATGTATGTAAGCGATGCGAGAAGATAATACGATCGCGCGAGAAGAGGATTCGACGAACTTCCCGTCACGCTCGCCCTCGAATTCGATCGAATTCCTCGAGTTTATCCGCGCGCTCCGAGTGAGAGAGGGGGAGAGGGGGGGGGAGGGGGAGAAGAGAACTCGAGCTCGTCGCCCGCTCCAATTTGTTGTAGTCCACGCAATTGAAGCGGCGGAACGAGCGAGCGGTTCAATGGCTGAAGGAACCGGAGGCGACGTATCACAATATCACGTCGCACACAGGAGACGATGATATAACGCGCCGCGTCGCGACGCGGCTCTTATCGCCGCCGCGCGCACGCACACACGCATATATATATATATATATATATATACACACGCGTGCAAGCACGGCCGCGGGGCTCGGTACGCTCGTAATACGCATGCACACGACGCATGGCACAAGCTCGTGGTTACGCCTGCAACACGCTCCGCGATCACGACCAAAGATTTTTCTAAACGAATGCACCCGCTTTTCACGCTGCACCACGTACGCTTCTTCCACGGGAGATGATGAATCGAACGGAAGGCGGGAATTTGAAAATTTAACACTCTCTCAGAGATAACAGTTTTCGAAACGGTTGTACATACGAAACGAGCAGTTTAAACATTTGGCCAGATACAAATCTGAAAATAATTTTTGGGAGTCAATTGAAGTTACTATGTTCACATTGGTCATGGAATATCAAAATTTTTTTAAATTGTTAATTGTTTAAGCATTCTACACAATAATTTTTTGATGGATTAATACAATTATTTTCAGATCTGTGGCTGATTAAATTTTTAGATTATTTCAGCAAAATTGTTCTTTCTTGTACGAACAAATGGTTTTAAACATAGAATCGAGATCTGATAAAAATAACCAGTATTGATCTTAAATCAATTTTAAGCAAGTTATAACTTAAAATCGAATAATACAATAATAGGAATTTGGATAACATAATTGTGCGGTTTTTTCCGAAAGTTTGATTTAGTAGAAAAATTGTGTGACTCCTTATCGATTTTTGAGAAGTTATCTCAAATTGATATTTTATTTTTATTTTTAATTCTAATTTTATATTGATTAACTCTAGAAAATTGCGGCAGGTTTAATTAAATTATGCAAGAATTCTATTTATACGGGAGCTTCTATCTTGTATTTAAAATTAAAGGTAAACAATTTTCCATTTTGAGATTTAAATACCTTCGACTTTCTTCAAGAGAATTTTACGATTCTAAGGTAGATGAAATAATGATTGAGAAAAATCGATCTGGCTGTCTAAATCAATTATAAAAATTTTAATTCAAGATTAAAAACAGAAAGAGAAATTCGACTTTAAATCATTCATCAACCCGTTCATTCGGGGATGTCCCGTATATCCCGTAAGCTTGAGAATCACGTCAGTGTTCATTCCCGATGCATTGCAGAATATGTAAGTGAGAAATTACTATGCGTATCGGTCGGCTGTTACATAATGGTTAAAAACGATGAGATATACGGAACCGAGCGGCGATATGATTATGTAAGAAGACAAGCCAGTTATGGAGAGCTCGCGAAAATATATATTTTTCACACGCGGGACATTTTATAGCTATCGCATAGATAACGCGAGTTTGTTTTTATCGAATTGTGTATCTTGCAAATGCATCGCATTCTCGAATACAACAATTTGCCCGGTGAGACGTTGCCTTCTGTTTTTTCCTAGAGCTAACCGATACTCTTTCCTCGATGCGATGCATCTCGATCTCCCATTTGTTTACTAGCTCGACTCGATCTCTTAAAAAGATAATTAACGTTATACACGTCTGTTACATCGACTAGTTACATAACGGAAATTCAAGGAACGACTGGAGAATGATTCTTTTCATTACAGCGATGATAAGGGTATTTGACCGGTTACTAGTAAATTTATTCGTATTCTTTTATGCATTCTGCTGTGATCCTTTAGGATGTCCAAGCCTTACTGCGAATCCTCGTAATTGTGTCTTAATTGCAGCTTTGATCAAACTCTCGCGTGACTTGACTATAAATTTTGTTGAGTTCTGATTTTACTTTTTAAATGACACATACATACTAATTTAATAATAATGTGAGTCATATAAATATACATAATAATAATAATACGTAATGTAAGAGATGTTATCGCGGACTGCAAACTTTATCTTAATGAATTTGAGAAGCCATATTTCCTTTAATAAAAATTTAATCGGATTTAATAATTTATTAGACGTCGTTAAATTTTTAATCTTTATTAAATATCTTTATGTTACAGATTATTTTTAGTTGAAAATCTTTGTTAATAAATTATCAAATTATCAAATTATGAAAGTAAAGTAGAATTAATCGAGGAAGATAGAAATTCATTTGGATATTATGTATGGAAAGAATAGTTTTGATAGTTTTTGGAAAGAATAGTTTTATATATCTAAAACTTTGACTAGATTTGAGAATAACTTCGTTAGACCATTCAAATAATTATGTAGGACGTTCAAATTGATTATAGATTATAAAAAACGATTATAAAAAAATTTTGCGGTATTATCGTCACACCTAAAGCTTAATGACTTAATAAAATTATTTTATTAAATTTGGTCAATTCAACAAAATCATTTTTTGTATATTTCAAACTTAACTAAGGGAAAAATAAGACTTGACAATAAAGAAGAAAAATAATTTGATTAAATTACATAATTCGATTGAGAGATATTTCTTCTCCATATACTTTCCCAAGATACATAAAATTGATTCCAAATTTGTCGACACAACCATATGAATGAAGTTTGCACCGCGATAGTGAAACACACTTTGCACATACATCGGTGTACATGCACCGTGATACGTACTTTCACTGCGAACGACCGATATATTCACCCTATATATTCGCATACACGCAGGAATCTGGACACGAGGAATTTTTTTCCGGGCGACGGGCGCATTATCCCGAGAAGCAGATTACTTATTCAAGGTTGGCCGAGGAAGCCATCGCCCACATCGGTAAAGCCTCGCAAGTGTAATCGATGATTCAGTTTTCCTGGCCGTCCCTCTCGTCAATTCCGCGCGCTCTCTCAGCCGATGGGCGTTACGTAAAGATCCGCGACCCGAGCGGACGGGAATCGTTTCAGTCGTGACCGATTGACAGAAAAATCGTATTATCGAAGCGATTACTATGCCGCGGGCGCGCACGCGAAGTGCACGCGAAGTGCACCTACGATGTCGCCCCGCTGAATGGGATCTCTCGCGACGCGATTCGTGCGATCGTAGATTCGCGAAAAAAATCGAAAGAGAAGAGATCATTAGCAAATCGTCGTGAGGCTTCCGCGCGATTCGTATTGGTTGATCGAACCCGGAAGATTTCGGCGGGGAATCGAGCGGCGTCGTGCGATCGGCGAGCCGGAATGCGATCGCTCTTAAATCCGCGAGCGATCGGGGTTACTTTACACGAGCACACGTACGACGCGGCGGGTCGCGGGAGGGGTTACCTCGGTGGGAAAATGACCGCCGCACCGTGCTCGAGAATTGCTTTGATATGAGGTAATGCGCACTACAAAACACGCAAGGAGCATTACGTAACGTTTAAACATGTAGTTAGTGTGTGTGTGTGTGTGTGTGTGTGTGTGTGTGTGTGTGTGTGTGTGTGTGTGTGTGTGTGTGTGTGTGTGTGTGTGTGTGTGTGTGTGTGTGTGTGTGAGTGCGCACGCTGCGGCGACCGGCGGTTGGTATATTTATTAACGAGCGATCGTGGCTGCGGTTTTCGTCATGAAGAAACAGCCGGCCCGATCGCTCGAACGATTTCCAAACAACCGCAACGACGGATTCCGGATCGGTGGCGAAGTTTACGGGAGCAATTAGCACAAAATCTCTATCTAGTATGACAAGGATTTGCAATTGCAGGAAAATAGGTATGAATTGGCGATTTCGTGTTGGCAGTCCGAATCGAAGCATGAAAACGTTCGAAAGCTCCGTTTCTGAAAGTTTCTATGTGAGATAAGAATTTTAAATCCAAGTTTCAAATATTCGCGAATTTAGAAAGCTTATTTAATTTTAAAATTCTTGGATCTAATTCAGAAATTCTTTTTGGATTTTTAGAATAAATAAATAAATAAATAAATAATATATATATATATATATATATATATATCTGAAAAATTATTTTGTTCGGCCGTCAAAATAATTATGTAGGACGTTTAATTTAATTGCTAAAATACAAAAAAAAATTTGCATTTTATTTTCATGATATTTAAACAAAATTAATTTTCAGATTTGTATCTGGTCAAATTTTTAAGTTCTCGCAAGATTGTTCGTTCCATGAAGTTTTCTTAACGACGAACTGGACAGGGTACTTTCCCCGTAGAGGAAGCACGGATTGCATCCGCGAGTTGCACACACGGCTCTGGAAAGGTCAAAGTGTTTCGAATGCAAATCGCATTAGGCCCGTAAAGGTACATAATACCCACTCAGTAAATGCGGGACGCGAATCCAACCGGCCGGCCAGTCGGTCCATTGACGTTCTCTCGCGTGCGATAATTATTTTCATGTGGCGGTGGGAAACGTGAGCGAAACGTGAAATGCAATTTCGTCATTCATATTTCATGTCGCGACGACACGCGCACATTGTAATCACTCGCAAAACGCCTTGTCGCGTTCCGCGTGCGTTTATCTCACTCGGAATTCGCTCTTCCGTAAATCAATGCGGGAGAAACGATTTGAAATCACTTTCTCGAACGTGTGTTCAGCAGCGAACGATGTTGTATTCGAAACGTGTCGCGGTGTTTCAATGTCGACGGGTATCTCTCGCGGAAGATTGCGCACGGGTTCCTTTTCTTTTTCCATTTCGATTCCATTTCAGAAATTGCGCTCTCGTATCTTTGCAAATGAGACGCGACGGCGTGTCGGACCGGTTAAGCAGCGGCAGCGCTAATCTAGAAAGCGCGCGAATTAAATTTACATAACGGAATTATTGCGAATGTTACATTACGGCCTTGATTGCGTGTATGAGTGCGTGCGTGCGTGCGTGCACGTGTGCACGCGTGCGGGCGGACGGGCGTGTTTTGCGTCACAGGTCAGGCGCATAGTGAACATCGAAAGCGGCGAGTCCGGATATCGGTGGCACTTCGGGAATTACATAACTGCGCATTGATAAGGAAATAAGCGAGTCAAGCCTTGACATTGTGGACTCCCGATCCGGCTGTTTTTGTTGAAGATCGGGCTTCCCCGATCGCTGGCAAATGCGGAAATCGACGCTTCTGACACGCTTTAAACGAGCAAATAAGTAACATTTTTCCGCAATGTTAGTCATTTATCTCGCGACAGTATTACACGATGATTATTTATCACGTTTTTAACGTTGCTTTTTTTTGCGATTATTTCCGCTTTCAACGTTGCTCGAGTTAATGACGTTAACACGGATAGATTTTTTTTTAATCAGAATACACTGAAGACTTTTTTCTTTTCTTCTTTTTCTTCTAAATTCAGAAAAGTCAGATCTCTCCTTTTAAATTAACCCTTAAGCACAGGTGTGCGATCTGCACGTCTCTATGCGAAAGAAACGTCTGTCCTTTCCATAAGTTTTATATACATTTTTTTTCTCTAGATCGTATATAATAAGATGACATAACGAAACAATTATTATATGCAACAATTTCTTACATGTGATGTTGGACGTTCAGTCGCAGATTATGTAAAATAACAATTAATTACTCGTACGCGTGCTATGAAATAATATCTTTTGAAAAAAAAAATGTGTAAGTTCTGTTTAATTTCTTGGATGGCCTTGTCCGGCGTTTAACAGTATTCTAAAATGTCGTTCTCTGGAACAGGCACACAGGTGGACGACGGGACTGTTTTTGTGATTCGTCGATGCGACGACGTTAGGGGATGTCGTTGGCAAGGCATAACCTGTCAACCACAGGCGCTGATGATGTTTATATAATCATGTGGTTAAATTGTTGCACACTGTGTTGTCCGTGCGCTTACGTAACTGAAATTCAATTGCATTTTCACTGGAAAACTGGTAAATGTATTACCGTTGTACTCGTCGTATCGGACTTAAGGGTAAGCTCTCCCACGCTTTCCCACAGAAAGGTCGCGAAAAGTTCCGCGCTGATCAAAGTCCCTTTAATCTTTTTCGGGAACTTTGCGATCGACTTGGTAGGAAAAATTGAATGTGAATTCTTCTTTTTGCAGATACCGGTACTATGAGGCCGCACAAATGGATGCGTAAGACATCCGGAAGCAGATTCGAAGGTACGATATTATTTGATACTCTCAGTTCTCATTTTATTCGAGTAACATTTAAAAAATATATATATATATATAAGGCAAAAATATATATATTCTCTTTTTTCATTGAGACGATATTTGGCGGATTAAGAATTGATCGTTTGAATTTTATTCTACGTGTAAGTTAAAAAAAAGTTAAAAATCCCCCCTTAGAAGTGAAATGTCGATTTAGTTGTTCAAGAGCGCAGATGCTCGTTACGACGCGACAATGGAGGATAAGATCCTAACAAGCGCTCGGTGGGCACCTGATATAACTCCTGACATATCTCGTTATTGCGTTAGCATTTGTGCATCGAGTCGCTGATATCATTCAAGGAAGCGCAACATTTATTTCTTACGTCGCAATTTCCATATCGCGAATGATACTGGATTCATGAATAACCGCTGTTGTCTACTTAATTATACATACACCGACACGTCGTTTAATTGTTTCAATTTCTATCAAAGTCCCGGCTACAAATTATATGTACCGAAGCGAAGAGATCTCATCGATATTTTTCCTTGGCTTGTAAAATATCGCCAGCTTTTTTCTCTCGTGTCATCACGCTGAATCTTAATTTACGTCTTAATTCGCTGTTCTGTCCGTTTGAGCGTGAAGTTTATTCGCCCTGCTCGTTTGTCCCGGCGCACAAACGACAAATTGTCGCGGAAGACAGGCGTCCAATTATAAAAATTCGCGCGACCGATGAATCAATCATGATTTAATAATTCGACGTTCTGTTGCGATGGCTTGTTTTGCAGGCATCGATATGTTTCAGCCAAATGAATGGACGCATGGAAGGGCCCGATACGCATCTGAAGGTAAGCTCGGCATTTCGTTAATCGGTTTTTAAGAAATGTATCACACCTATTTTTATACAAATATTCTAAATCGCATTAAAAAAAAAAATTTAGAATCTGGATGAAAAATTATTTAAATAAATAATTAGAGATACGTTCCAAAATTTAATTAAGAAATAATAAATCTTTTTTTATATTTTTTAAATGTTTTTTTATCCAGGTTCTAAAGTGGCGCAAAATTTTTTGTATTACTTTTAAATACGATTTAGAATAATTTATAATTTTTTTCATTATAAATTAAAATAGGTATAATGTCTTTATTTCCAAATAATATGCTTTCGCTGATTGACAATGCGGCGGACGGTGAAGCACGTGATTGTCGAAAGAAAAATAATAAGAATAGACATCGGCACGCTGACTCTTGGATGTTACGGCGGCAAGATGACACAATGATTATAGCTGTTTCCGCGAAAGTATTGTGTTACAAGAGGAGGGTCAGCTTACCAATCAATGTTGAGAAACGAATTCCGGAATCACCGGTCAGTTCGGAATTCGAGGATACCGACATTCTCCTCCTCCTTACCGATGGTAACCCAAGTAAATTGATACTCGATATGTGAGCGAAGGCATACACGTTTAATATTAATAACGTTACGTTCATTACGCCCATCCCCGATTTCTTAATCATAATTGATTAATGATTACGAGAGATATATATAATGAGATGATTCAGTTGCGATACAGGCGATACATCGAATGTTTAAATGAATGCATAATGAAGCAATTATATGCTAATAATATATATAGACGAGATTAGAAATTGCACGATTTATCTTTTTTTTTTTCAGAAAACAAGAAAACATATTACGAAATATTAATAAGCGTAATAAATTAATGCGCGCGATGCGCACAACTAGCGTGTTTTCGATCGTCTTTCTTTACGAGTTTCACCTCTTGGCGCATAAAATTCGCCGCCCACGTCGGGAAAAAGTATCGCGCGTTTTATCCCCAAATTTCATCGATGTCGTCGGTATCTCAAGCGTTAACGAAGGTCAAAGATCGTTATTAAAAACGCGAATAATTGGATAAACGCGCGCCCACAGAGCGCTATGAAATCACTGTAAATTAATCGACGGGGGGGCTGATCTCCGCTTACTAAAAAATCACGCTAATGAGTGGAACAAGGCAGATTTGGCCTTGGAGGAGGGGAGAGATCGGGAGCGGGCTGTGGTCACTTCAAACGTCGATGCCGATCGTAAACCGGGCAGTATCATACACACAAAAGCGTATTGACGATAATAATTAACGCTCCGCTTCAAACGGCTGTACAGATGCGCGCGGTCGAGGCAGGCTTAGCTCATGTAATTAACGCTAATTAATACATTGCAATCGGCTCGGTCGCGGAATCTCACCGATGACACGGATTTAAGGGATGAAAAACGATCAAGGAGAAACGGATATCTACGGGTGTCTAAGAACAGTTTTGCTGAGGGATCTAAAAATTTGGCTGGATACAGATCTAAAAAATAATCTTGTTGAATCATCAAAATAATTATGCAGAATATTCAAATTGTTTGCTAAAATATAAAGAAAAAAACATTGCAATATTATCATTATGTTTAAACATCCTATATAATAATTTTGATAAGTGAAATGGTTTTTTAGATTTGTATCTGACTAAATTTTTAAATCTTTCAGCAAAATTATTCTTTCCGTGTTCGTTTTTCATCGATCACCGATATCGAACAGACGATCTTTTTTATTTCAACGTAGCAATTTGTTTTTCAATAATCATAATCATTATCTGAACGTTTCTGGATAAATAATTTTGCGATTTACTTTACGACTTGTTTTTTGCATGCAGCTCTTTTTATATAATATAATTTGTATTCTACACACATTTCTTAATACTTATAATCATCCTCAGGGATGATGAGCAAGTTCGTTTATTTTTTTCTCGAGTTTGAGAGAGAAGCTGATATAATAGTTGGGACTGATACAACTGGTGTAACAACATTGATATAGCCTAGCCAATTAATAAAGACTTTGACATCACAAAATTAAAATGATATTAAAAATTTCTCGCAGGTGGCACCGTACAGTGGCAATTATTATTATTTTAATACTAAGCGAATTGCGCGCAAAGGTAAACCGGTTAGCTGAAGGCTAACGTTTCGAATGTCTATGAAAAGTAAGAAATAAACTTGGAGTTACGTTATAAAGAATAATTCCATGGGAAGAAATACGTTGACCGTTCGCTTCGTGCCTTTACCAGAATGCATGATATTAAAATGTTAGCGCGTTAATCAATTACGTTATATATTAATAAAGTTATGTAAGGCATTAGGATGGCAGGCATTAATTAGTTGGCTTTAAATGCATACATATTGTTACGTACTATACGATGAATCGTTGTACGTTAATTAAATTTGCAGTGACGTAAAGTGAACAATCCGTATAAATTTATATTTTTTTTCAATTTCTGCATTTTTTTCTGAAATTTACATATTAGTAATATCTGTGTGTGTGTATTGGGCGAATGTATGTTCGTGTATGAAAAAAAACTTTCTGCATCTCGTTAAGACACTGTACAGACAGGTTGAATCCAGAAATACTTTAAAAATATTGATATGGCTGAAAGGCTATTATGCGGTTTCTAAATTACGTGTTGAAAATCACATCGCATAGCGGCTGATTGCTACCGTCATACTCGTGATTTTTCAACGCAGGCATAAACAGATAGCAGCGGGGAAGTTGCAAGATATATTTATTTATTTTTCATCAGTTTGCATATGCAAGTTTGCAGTTAATGACATGTTTCTTTCACGGTTATTATTATCTTTTTATTATTTAATTGTTTTAATAAGTCTAATATAATTTATTTTTAATAGATTATGACAATCTAATTATGACTTACGTCGACAGGCAGTGGCATATCGTTACGCTTTTAATAGATTCTAGCAAATCTCTATCGATTTTACATTTTTTCTTTCGTTATGTTGAATCTCACATTCTTGTTTATAATCATACAAATGTTAAATTTGACGATTTGTACGATAGTTTTAGAATTTAGAACTTGAATATGTGAGATTTATCTTCAAGAATAAAGTTGCTAAGATGCTTTAATTTCGTTATGTATAAGTAATCAGCTTTGTTCTGATATGAATATTTTTATTACTATAAATATCTGAGAAACTGTTTTACTTTGCGATCATTCGATTCATCTGACAAAGAAGAAGTCGCGATGGAAGGAATTCTCACGACGCATCCTTCGCGCCGTGATGTGGGGGTGGCTCGGCGACACCGTCGCGGGGGCGATTCCGCGGCGCAGGGCGGTTTTAGTCACTCCCACCTGTGCCGGGCCACGTGGTACCCGTGCACCCCGGTGTACTCGACAGCATCGTTGCCGACGACGAGAGAGTACCTTTCTACCATCGTCACCGCCGTTGTCGGTGGAGGTGCCCTCCTCCGCTGCCACCACCACCACCACTGCCGCCGCCGTCACCATCACCACCGCCAGCACCACCGTCATCATCACCCACCCGTGCTCTCAGTGTCAAGCAGACGACGCGTCCGTCGACGAGTGCGTTGCCTACCACGCGAGTTTCGAGAGGAGAGACCTTCTCCTTCGATCACGGCCCCGGTCGACCGATCGACATCACCGTGCGCCACCGAGACGCAAGTTCCCATGGTCCCGACATCGGCGATCGTCGGCGAAAGTTAAGCCGGACGGTGTCGTTTCTCGTCTTCTCCCTTCGTCAGTCGACCGCCGTCCGTTCGGTGTCACGTGCCGGTCAGCGTTTCGCGGAAACACGCGATACGCGACTCGGGTAGAGGCGGTGGTACTGAACGGTCGACACGATCCCGTCGTCGCCGTCGAGGAGGCTCGACCCTCGAGGTACGAGGGCATTGCCCGGCAAGAGGGTAGGCGACAGGCCTTCTGGCCTCATCTCGAGGATGCCGTCGCCCCCTCGTCGTCGACGACGACGTGGATGTACGCGCTTCTCGGTAAGGGGTTTCTCGTGACGAATGCTCGCGATGTGCGAAATATCGTATAACGTTTTTTCCCGCCAAAAACAAAAAGTTACTACTTTGAACTCTGCGTGCTTCTCGTGAATCCCGTTTTTCGTGATCTTCGTAGAAGAAATTAATTCTAGCAAATTTTCGCTGTCACGCAATCTTCATTAATTACTCGTACACATTTCGCTTACATCACACGCAAAAGTAATTTTAAGTAAGGTTAAAAATTTGATTAAATTTGCTTAAATACAAATCTGAAAATAATAAATAATATTTTATTGAACCATTAAAATAATTACGTAGGATATTCAAATTGGTTGCTGGAATATCAAAAATTTGTATTATACAATATTATCATCATGCAGCATCCTATATAACAATTTTAATGGACCAACAAAATGATTTCAAGATCTATCTCAGTTTCCTAAATTTTTAGGTGCTTTAGCAAAATCATTCGTTCCGTGCAATTAAGAAGTATTATAAATAAGATTTAATCGATTGTAACATTTTTTTATATAGAGCTTTTGTACTTTTAAATTTCAAATCGATTCATAATTTCTTAACATAATAATAATTTATAAACTGTGGGTTTACTAGTGACTTTTAAACAAAGCCGGTTAAAATGTTTTTTTTATTTATTTTTTTAATTGAAAAAGTGCTTTCTTGTTGGTTTCTTTTAAAAAGCTTGCGTCAGTGATATATTGTATGGCATCGTTATTCATCAGACAATACAGGATTCATTAATGCATCATCGAATGTATTATTTTAATAATAATCACCGCGATATTCTCGTCACTTCTTTCCTTGTCTTTTCCATTGTCATATTGAAGCGAAATCCGATAGCAATCTATACTAGATTCCTCACGTCGGTTCCTTTCTTTAGGAAAGATACATATCTTCACAAAGGTTATCTTCCACCGAAGCTTTGTCTTCTCAATCCTTGATCGCCGTTGAAAAATCACACACAATGAATTTATTTTCTATTCAATTCATAATTCTTCGACGAATTCCCATGACGAATTTTTCGTTTTACCGATGGGAGGATGTTTCCGTGTGCATTTTCATAAATGGTAACAAGCGCCATCATTTCATCCTTGTGTGTTCCTTTTCATATTTATGCTATTTCCTTACGTCGATGATGCCAGTGACATTGTAATTACTATTTCCATTGATAAAGAACGATGCACGGCGTTATCGAAGGTCGCGCGTGCCGCGTTGTGCAGCTCCCAGATAATGTCATTGTCACTATTATCTCAGTCGTCACGCGATTGCATTCTGAGGAATTTTTTCCGCGTCGTCGAACGCACCGGGTGCCGCTTCTGTACGACGATAAAACGATAGATCTTTAATTCTATGTAACACTACTCATTTGGACGAAATTTCATCGCTCGTCAGTTCACACGCGTGTATGTGTCGATATCGTCGCTCGCTCGAGCGTACCTCATCTCGCTCGCGACAGAATGAAAAATTCCAACTTATATCGGTGCTTTCGTAAGACGGGAAAATTATTTTAATTAGAAGAGTTTTAATTAGAAGAGTTGCCCGTAGCAGTTCTCGCGTTTGCGAAAATTGTTATTAAATGTCTTAATGTAATAGAAATCGCGAGAGGCAATACGCATTCGCGCGTATATCGAGCCTTAATGAAGTTATATCTATATGCACGTTTATCCATAATCATATTTAAAATAACACTCGCGCGATCATTACGATTTTATTACCGTAATTTCATTGTAGTTTTTTTTTTTTTTTTTTTTTTTGTGAAAATCCATAAAAGTCATGTAAAGGAATTCGTATTTAATAACCGCAGACATTTAAATGAAGATGATTCAAATGAAATATTTGAGACATTAGATATAAAAAAATACGTCTCTTCTTTCATTTGCGACTCGCGCGTTTAACCCCCCGGAACTGGTTTCTGGAAACTTCAATCGTCGACCTCTCCTCCGGAGAGCATTCGTTCTCGCAAGAGAGAGACGTCGTTGTCGTCGTTTACACGCGTTAACACGCCGCGAAGCGAAATGTCATAAAAATACAGAATCGCCTGGCACAGGCTGCGGTAGGCACGCAGGTAGCAATTAATGCGCGTCCGAAGGCGGACGATTCGCCAAGAGTTCGCGTTGATTGATTGCTGATTTCGTCGTTCGCCCGTCTTGCCTTTCTTGCCGATCTGAACTGGCTCTTGCGCAAGCACCCTTTATGAGCGTTTTTCCTCCCGCACACTGGAGCACGATGTACAGGTCGACACGCAGCATGTGGGAAATTTTTCGCGCACAAGAGGAAAGCGTAGTATTAGAGAGGAGGCATCAACCTTTCGCATTTCGTTCAGTTGCTGTTGATGTGATTTACGCGTTCGGCACCTTCGTGCCTCGAGTCTTCCGACGGGGGATTCTTGACGAGCTGTTGCTTCCGCGAGTTGTTGCACGTGTATTCCAGGAGAGAATATCTCTCTCTCTCTCTCTCTCTCTCTCTCTCTCTCTCTCTCCCCCTCTGTCTCTTTCTTCCTCATTATTGCGTCATTATCATTACTTTACGTGCTGTCGACGGTGGTTCGCGCGCGCATTCCGGAATCGCGGCGACGTACGACGACACGTGTCCGGCCGCACTCGCAATCGCGTCGTGACATTGGCGTGCTGTCACTCAAGGCCGGAGATTGCGTTACGCACATGCGACAGATTTGCCTCCGTCTACTTTCCCATTGTGCGACATTACGGCGCATGTTACATTTTGCGAACTCGCGGAATTGAATTACGAAATTGATCATCGACGCGTGACATCGTGAGGGAAAGAAAAAACACAGTCGGTCTGATCTTCGTTGATTTTCAATATTGCTATTGTAACAACGGTATTGTCCACTTTCGATGAGAGAACCACGTCAGTCGTGGCCGATTCTCTGGCGATGATCGGCGATGACCGTCTAAAATGAGAGATTGCCGGCTTAGAAAGTCGCGTTCCGCGATCAGCATCGAGTCGCACAAGTGAATAATTATGCTCTGACTCCTAGATAATTGCCCGTTTATATCGTATTTTACATTACGCAGATTTATCGCGAATTATATCACACACGCAGACGCCCCGTAAATCTTTCCATAAGATTTATCGTATAAAAAAATCGCCGTGAAAAGGTTCAATAATAAAATCATCGTGGTCATTGTCGTTGCTGAAAATTGCTTTTAATCGCGAATTTCATCTCGATTAAATCGAGACCGGATTTGGAGGTCAATTCGCCGGAGGATAAGAGAAGCACTTTCGCACGTCGCGAGTACGTTCTCGGGCACATTCGGGTGGAGGATCTCCCAATGGCGAATCGCTCTGTCGTTCTCCAGAAGAGGATGGTCTACTGCCGAACACCAGCAGCAGCGGCGTCATCGAGAATGATGACGCGGTGGTCGCCCCAGGCGATGGCGCCTGCGTGAACGATCGGATGCTTCATTATCATCAGCACCAGCATCAGCAGCATCCCCATCAGCAGCAGCAGCAGCAACGGCAGCAGCAGCAGCAACAGCAGCAGCATTCATCGACGGAGCCAGAACTGGATGATCTCCTGCGATTCCCAAGTTCCGGAGCCGCGACCGGACAGGGACAAGAAATGGTGGCGCAGGAAATGGCGCAGGGTTACACCCAGCTCCTGCACTCGACGGTGGTGGTGCCGGCCCAGGAACCACCGCAGGAATACATCACGATAGAGGAGCTACAGCCGCGCCTCCACCATCAGGAGCATCATCGCATTGTGCACGACACCTGCACGCAATTGGCCACGTCCGTCTCGCAGCTCTATCACCAGCATCATCAGCATCATCAACAACAGCAACAGAGTGGTGGCCAGCAACAGCAACAACAACGGGATTACTATAATCTCTCGTCCGTGCAGTAAGTTTTGGCTGTTTCCGCTGTTGTGCTCGTCATGCTCGTTGTTGCAAACATGATACCATAATAACATAAATGTATATTAGTATGTATAATATATATTTATTTTAATTAATACAATGTACATCGATGATGGACGTATCTCCATCTGCGAATCAGAAATGAATGTTTGAATCGAAATATATTTGGTCTTGAGAACGAAGCTACGCAGCTTCGTTATTTTTATGTGATTGGTTTTTACGTTATATTTATATCGCATAATGTGCGCGACAACAATCGATAAGCCTCTCGACATAATCTGTTAGAATCGGCTTTGGGATTATGACCAGTGCTGTCAACACTCACCGAGTTATCGAGCTGATGATACGTAAAATCACTCGAAAATAAGTTGTCCATGTATCGAGAGTCCATGTATTTGCGAATAATATCTGGATCATTAACAAAAAAAAAAAGAAAAAACACGGCTTGCACTTACGTAATTGTTCTAATAGACTAAATTTCGTGTTGCGTGATAAAATTCCGCGATGAAGCTTTTTGTTATGAATATGCAACGCGTGTAAGACAAAAGATGGAACGAAGGACAGTGTCAGTCATCGCCAGTTCAGCATTCACGCTCTAACGGATCTAAATGGCGTATGGTAACCGCAATATGTGCATTAACAGCTACTCGAGTAAAATGCGTCGACATCGTTCAGATAATGAGTGATTGGTTAATAATTTCTCCCTTCTCTCTTCACATTGCTTTGGATTTTCATATTCAATATTTCCCCGTAATGCAATGACGAGGACCAACTGGGATCGACGGAAGACTTCGTGTTTTCTGTCCCATCTCTCTCTCTCTCTCTCTCTCTCTCTCTCTCTCTCTCTCTCTTCTCGTTTCTTCACTCTGATGCTCGATATTTTGTCTTGATTGAGCCGCGATGCATTGCGCAACGCATCTCTTTATCATCGCCTCGCAACGAACGCGATTTTCACGCGCCACGTTGGCTGCTCGAGCAGACTTTCTGCGACCTCTCGCTTTCGCGTTTTCTACGCCTTTGAAATTAATTCGTCTCTTTTTTTTTTTTCTTTTTTAAGCACACTCAGACGTCTTGCAATTGGTGATTTACCACGAATAATCTTGGCTAACGTAACTACGTAAATTACGTCATGATTAGACTGCTTAGCTTTTGCTTAGGCATTCCTCCAGTGAAAATTGGATCGAGATGAGGTCAGATAAGAAAGTCGTCGTCTCGTAGATAAGCCGCGCCGCTGCATTTTAGAGAATGAGTTGAAGCACGCCCGGAGGATTAACTTGGATTCACGGAGTTCGCAGTCACTTGAGCATTAGGTATGTGCGAGTTTCCCACCTGTCGCGTCGCATGCGACATGACGTCGCCGTCGGCACTGTCGTATATCTACTCGAATAAATAGAATTACGCTAATCGCCTGCATTACATCATAATACACGGAACTATCTGCCGTTGCCGATGACAAGATAGTCGGCAGACCTTGGTCCCACATTTTTCAAACGAAAAGCAAATACGCGCGATCATCATCTTGGAGGCGACAAAATCCAAGATAATTTTATTAGCCCGAACCCGATGGCATTTTATATATCATCTTTCCGCTAATTCTGTTTAAGAAAGAATTCTCTACATTAATTTTAAACATAAGATATTAAGATTGCTTTGATTTTTTTTCTAGCTTTATATGTAAAAAGAAAGAATATAGTATTGAAATTTTACGAGATCAATTCTTGAAAATACTTTAAACTATATTTAAAGCAACAAAGTATCCATGCAATTATATGCATAATTACATATTGGATATGCCGTATCCTTACATGCGCAAATGCGATTGACAACATGATAACGCAATCAAGATTTAATCGATCGGCAAAAAGTTATACGTTTAAACAGGTAAGGCAAATCGAGAGATTGGATCGATATCGCTCGTAGGTGCTTATAACCTAGTATAGATCGTAAGGTCGATGACGATAGTTCAATACTCCCGGATGTGACGTTAGTGTAACTATACATTACACGCCCCGTATGTGATTAGCGTATACCTATATACAAAAATGTTGTGCACTCCCATGCGATCGCAACTTTCCCCATTCCCTCGGGTCTTGAAAATATATAAATATACAACCAAGGCTCGGTGCTCAGAAGATAACGACTAGAAATTTTTAATGACGATCAACGGGGAATTAAGTTTCTCAGTAATTTCTTATCGCCCGTATGTATATATTTCGCATTGCAATTTTAACATTTGCACATATTACATTTAGAGACACCTCCTTCACCCGACTCCCGCAGAATATCGGAGAAACTTTACCACGTGCTTTAGGAATGTCATGCATTACATGATTTACCACAGTGATTTTTATTCAATCGGCAATCACGCTGCACCTACGGCAGTCCGCGTTCTGCGCAATCGCGATATGTCTGATAGCAATTAGAACGCCTTCTCGTCTGACTTGGTCTGGTGAAAATTCGTTGCTTGCAGAAGTTCGTGCCCCACGGTTTATTTCGGCGAGATAGGCACGGGTTCCGGGGTGGGAGAGCTAACCACCGCCTCGGCGGGGGGTGGTGGCGAAGGTCTCGCCCCGACTCCAACCCCCGCCAGCAGCGGCAGCACCGCTAGTACCACCACCACCCCCAACAATCCAAGCACGACCACTACAACTGCCACCACCACCACCACCTCCACCAGCAGCACCGCCACCATCCCGCAGATTGCAACGGGGGCTGAACCGCCCCAGCACATGGAGACACCCCCGACGATGGTCCCCGACCAGCAGGCACCCGCCTCCGGCCATCATTATTACCATCATCACCATCATCATCATCATCATCACCGGCATCATCGTAGTACGTCCACCACACCTAGCCATGGACCGGCAACAGACACCTTGGACGAATTTGCGCCGGTTTCCAGGAAGCGGAAGCTTTCTTGCCAGTAAGTTTAATCACAACTTGTCCAAGAATCTTGAGGACATCTCTGAGGAATTAACAGTTGATTTTACTAGTTTCTCTCGAGTCAGATATTGCTGATTAACTTGCAATAGGTTGTCCAACATCGTTTTACGATTCGCCAACGTCGATCGATACCTTACGTTATTAATAAATTAGCAATAGATTTAAAGCGACTAAATCGTGAAAGTTTATTAAACTAAGTTAATAAATTAAAATTTATTTATTTTTTTTTTAATAAACGTAACAGAAAATATAAATTGTAATTTGTTGAGTTTAAATGTAAATTCAATTTTCAGAAAAGACTGTCAATTTAATGTTTAATGAAAGGGAGGCCGGAGAGATGAAATCAGCTATGATTTTTTTCAGCGCATCGTCTTTATCTGGTTCTTAAATAAACGAATGAAGAGAGAAGCGATAGAAATGAGACTCTCGTCTCGGGAATTCTCGCGCCACGTGGAACAACGTTCTTTTGTCCGTCGCGTAGCGCTCATACGGCACCTAAGAATTCGATTGGCAACAACCGCCCCGGAGCATAAAGCGTACGGCTCACTTCGGTGGCATGTAGGTGGAAGTCGTATCGGAATATTACACATTAACATGAAGCGCGGAACGAAGCCCGCGAAATGTGCCCCGTCGAGAGTCTCGCGAGTTGTGCGGCAAACAACCCGCGACAAGTAGCAGCGCGACTTACCACCCCCCCCCCTGGGGTGGTACCCTCCAGTTCTCCGAATCCTTGCGATTCACCCCCTCAATATTCATCGATGCCGAGATGTTTCGCGCCCGGAACGCCCGGTAGTTCCGAGTAATTACCCAATCAAGGTGTCGGATACGCGGTCAAAGGATTAGCTTAATCGTTGCGAGATGGAAGATTTGCCTCTCTCTCTCCCGAGACTCCGATCGGTCGAAATTGCCTTCGGCAATTACCTCCATTGCCTGTCCGGGCGCTACGCAGTTGCGTACACACTTATCGGAGGTAACGTCATCGAAAAAACGCGATTCTTTTTTTCGAGCGCATGTCACGATCGCGCGACGTCTTCGCTCGCGTTCGAGAGATCCGCTGAAATTTTTGCGTCGTCTGAAATTGAGACGTTAAATTACGTGATCTGTAGCGTCAACGTTTTTTTGCAACACATCTATAAATATGCAATTATTACGCAAAAATAATATGTGTATATATATATATATATACGTCCACCTGGGAATCCGATCTCGTTGTTAATGGCGTTAAGCAAAATCGAAATGCACGCGCGCATTTTTATTGTCGTAAATATTTACGCCTATCTTGTTTCCGAAGCGAGAGTCTCTCGCGACGAAGAAACGGTGTCGACGAAACGATTTCCTCGCGAGAAATGAGGAAACCCACGTGCGACTTTTCGAGCTCGAAACACAAAAGACGGGGGGGAAGAAGAAGCTCTACACGAGCGAAACTTCGTGAAATTTGCTGCCAAAGGGGTAAACACCCTCTGCGAAGGTCGCAATATACGACGAAGAAATTGTTTTCCTGTGATGTTTCGACCGAATTTAGTCGCCGCGAAGGGACTTCGCCAATTACGCGCTTGGATTACCACGCGCGTTTAATCGGCGAAATTATATCTGCGGAAGAAGATGGAAGTGGAATTGTCACGCGATATTCAAGTCAAAGTCTCTTAGTTAACCTTAGTTAATTGTATAATAATCAATATTTTCGTTTATTTATATATCAAATAATATCCGATTTCTTTATCTTCATTAAAGAAACGCTTCACTCTTCTGTTTCAGCGTTGGCAGCGATCTCTTGGACGATCTGGGAGACGACGCCAAATCAGTTCGCACAAATGACGACAGTAAAAAGTAAGCGAATACATTGTCAAGTGTTTGAAGAGATAGATATTCGATATTTGAAATGATTTGAAATTATTTTCGTGCGGGATTTTCGCTCCCACGAATACAATCGATTTGAACTTTTAGCACAATCGTCGATCGGCGATTACGTAGTATTATGTCAGATATTATAAAGGTGAGTTCCACCTTGACCTACCTCGATTCTTTGCTCCGGCTTCATCAGCGACGTCACCAAATCCAATGTATTACCTGCGACGCGAGTCACCACGAACGATCGTTCGATCGCGAAGCATTACCTTTTATGATCAGTTCATTACGCATTACAATTGAATAATTTCCTCGAGAAGTTTTTCAAACATCGTGAATATTTAAACGATATTAAGGCTTCATAAAGCAATACTAAGCTAAGGTATTCTAAAGTTTCGAACCTCTATCAAATGTCTCGCATCTTTTAGAAATGAAATGTTTATGTAGTTTAAAATATTATGTATATATATATATATGAGACGTTTGTATAATAAATGTTACATATACGTATTGTATTATTCAACATACATAAACTTGATAATTTGTAGAAATTACATTTCAAGGTATTTCTTGAAATAAAATTTCGCTTCTACGTTTGATTTTAATTTTAAACCGCGCGTAGATTTTCTAGAGAATCGTGGATAGGATTAAAGTATTAAAATAGGTATAAATAAATCTTAATTGAGATTGAAAATGGAAGAAAAATTTTGATTCTGCTTGTTCAATAACGTTGTACCCACTGCAGCCAGAGATAAAAGTCCAACGGATATTACGACAAATATTACGATATGTCCAGGCGAATCGGGACATAATTATGCGATATAATAGTCCGACATAGAGTCGACCGAAACCAGTTTTCTCCGCTGCAATCATTTCCGCTGTGCAATTTATTTCCCCCCCCCCTCCCCCCCCCGGGCGTGATATGAATGCGAATTCTTGCGAGACAAATCAGCGTGCGCTCTGAAAAGAGCGTCGTTTTACGTTAAGTCGAATCGTTCGATTGACTGATACGGCCTCGTCGGTCGTCGTCGTCTTCGCGCAATCCTGAGTCTGCTGATCTTTCTGGAAAAACCGATGTGGCTTCTGTTTAAAAATATACGTAACCCCGGCCCACGTGGATGAAACCTGTGCAGAAAAATCCGTCGTAGTCAGCAGAGTGTCTCTTACTACGTGTTACACCACGTCGTTCGATAACTCTGCACATTCCGATCTTGTTTCCGCATCTTGTTTACATGAAACGACGGCAGCAATGAGATTCCGCGCGATTAATGCAACGAGACCCCGAGACATCCAATTCCTTATCTGAGAAAAGAAAATAATAATTTGAGATAGCAGAGAAATGTGACTTTCTTTCGCGAAAAAGCCGAATCTTCAGAATAATCTGTACAATTTCTGTTTGCGCCATTGGTGGAATGCATACGTGGAATGTTTCCCCCCTTCTGTCTTTTGTACAATTTTGAAAGTTGTTATGTTACGACGATGACTAAACAATTATCTTAAGCATCTCACTTTTAGTTTTATCTTATTTTTAATTTCAAATCTCGTTAACAAGCCTGTAAGCCGTTAAGTAGCGCTGTAAAATAGAAACATTTACAATCGGCTACACGTTTCCCAGCCGTGATATCTATAAATCTATAAATATTGCAATTTTATTGGAGTCTCCATAACTTAATTAATTTTACAAGTTGTCCCTATTTGCGGACTTATCGATACGTAAATCTCGCGTTGTTTCCCTAGAAAAAAAAAAAAAAAACCTAGGCGAACTGATGTTATCATTTCTGTGTTCTTTCAGACAGAACCACAGTGAAATTGAAAAGCGCAGGAGGGATAAGATGAATACATACATTACCGAGCTCTCGGCGATGGTACCGATGTGTCACGCAATGTCACGAAAATTGGACAAGCTGACCGTGCTGCGAATGGCGGTGCAGCATCTCAAGACTATTCTCGGTGCGGTTACTTCGTACACGGAAGGTCACTATAAGCCTGCGTTCCTTAGCGATCAGGAACTTAAGACGCTTATACTTCAAGTGAGTACTTTCATCTAACTTAAACGATAATTGCGTAATATCTACAAACGATTACGAGAAACTACTATATCCTAAATTCAATTCTCATGAGCGTTGAAACGTTAAATCTGACAATAAGTGTCTTCTTTTCTTTAATTCTACGTGGAAAAAAAACTGTTTTGCTGAAGTATCTAAAAATTTAATCAGACACAGATTTGAAAGTAATTTTGGGTCATCAAAGTTTTTACATAATTCGCTTAAATATAATGAAAACAATATTGTAAAAATGTTTTTATATTTTAACAACCAATCTGGGTCTGTGTAATTATTATTATATGTCTGGTTAAATTTTTAAATACTTTAGCAAAC